GCCTGCATGAAAAAAATGGTTTCATTTTCAATCACATGTTAACTTAATTTAATAGTTTTTATCTCCTGCTGTTTTAATTTAACTTTAATTGCATGCAGGAGGCTGCTGCAGTGTCTAGCAACCTATTTACAGAGCAGGATATAAATTCTAAATTAAACAGACTGTGCTATAGAGGAAGTTCAAACATAAGATTTCTCTTTACAAGAAGTGCTTAGGAAGGTTGTGCAAGTCATATGCAAGGAGGTGTGCCTAAGGCTGCATAAACAAACTAATTTAACTCTTAAATGGCAGAGAATTGATCAGTGAGACTACAAGGGCATGATCTATACGCCAAAACTGCTTCATTAAAGGACCACTCTAGGCACCCAGACCACTTCAACTTAATGAAGTGGTCTGGGTGCCTGGTCCAGCTAGGGTTAACCCATTTTTTTATAAACATAGCAGTTTCAGAGAACTCCTTCCTTTCCCCAGAGCCCGGCGGGAGGGGGGCCCTAAGGGTGGGGGCACCCTCAGGGCACTATAGTGCCAGGAAAACAAGTGTTTTCCTGGCACTATAGTGGTCCTTTAAGCTAAATTTGTTTTGGTGACTATAGTGTCCCTCTAATGTAATTGGAACTTTAGTTCTCTAATGTAATGCTAACTAAAGATTGTAAAAAGATATATATACATTTTATAGCTACCTGTTTATCACGGCTTTTATGAATCAAGTTTAAACATATGAACTACATATGTCATAAACCTGCCAGCATCTATGTTTTCATTGGTTGGCCAATAGTATAGAAAAATATCCCTTGAAAAGGAAAAAGAGCACAGGGATCGGCTGAGAACTTTTAGCCAATTCCTATTTCGTCTCACTTCAAATGCAGGTGAGTCAAAGCGATCTTATCTGTATGTATTTTGTAATGCATTGTCTGTGTTAAAAGAAGTACATTGCATCCTGCACTGTTCCTTTAATTTCAGATAACTTTGTTATTTTGCCGAGATAAAGTGAACAAATTCCTACTGCTTACTAGATATAAGTATTGATAAATTCCACCCACAGTTTTCTCTGTCGCCTCAGTACAAGGAGAATTGCTAGCTTTTGCTAATGTAAATACTGCCTGAAGATTACGCTGCAAAAATTGCTCCACTGGGAAATAAACATGGCTGACAGATGACTAACCTCAGGGACCTGTCATTCGATACAGTTCTAACTAGTGGTGGTGTCTTCCAGGGCCACTAACCGCAATTCATGTAATGTGCTAAATTGGGTTAGCGCAATTCCGCCATTGGCAGACAGAGCAGAGTGTGTAATACGTGTTATGTAAATTATATCCCCCACAGAATGACAAATCTGCTTAAAACCGGATTTACAGCCCTGATAGATTCTTAATGATGGGATGCGCTAATTTGCAGTTTACCTGGAGGTTCGTGAATCAGGAATCTGTGACAGATTAAACTTCGTTATATGGAAATTGGCCAAGGGATGGCGCATGTGTTACCGATTCTTAGTTGGGGGATTACGAGAAATGCTGGTCTGTAGAGAACAGAGCAGTTAAAGTGATACAGAGAGCCAACGAGGAGGAGAAATCTCAGGTGAAAATCCCCAACTCCACAGCTGGTAACTTCTTTCAGTTTGACTCTTTTGGTATAAAATTATGAAAGTTGAGCGCATTCTGGTTGCTCCACAAACTCCTCACTGGATTTTAAAGGAACACTTCAAGCACTGTGCTCTGTAGTGATTATGGTGCCAGGAGTGCCCCCTTCCCTATTTAAGTGTTCAAACTGCTGATGTTGACTTTTTACCTGGGGTTTACTCTGCCTTCTCGTACCTGGAAATTTTCTTCACTGAGCTCTGTTGTGGTTATGGTACTTTGAGTGTTCTTTTAAAGGGTCACTTAAGCTCTTTTTTTTTTTTTTTATAGAAATTGACACTTTTGTAAATTATACTGGTTACATCCCCCTGGCTTTTCAAGCAGACAGGTCCTGTTACTTCCAGGTTTGGTTTATCTTACTTACACTGAACTTAAGAGGCAGCAATTACCCAGAGCATCTGCCTTGCCTTATCGTTGTGGGATTGCTGGTCCTGCTCCAGTGCACCGGGTGTTTTTATTTGGAGTATATCTACTAAACAGTGATCTTTATATATTTGGAGTTACACCCCAAGAAATTTAAATATTTCTGTATTGGCAGCTTTTCAAGCAGAAAAGAGGCACATAGAGTCCTTGCACCATAACCACTTTAATGACCAGAGTTGGTTATTGTGGTTAGAGTATTCCTTTAACGAGATACTATAAGCTCCAACACAACTTTACTTAGTTAAGTGGTTTTGGTGTACAGATCATGCCCCTGCAGACTAACTGCTCGATTTTGTATTTGTTTTACCATTTAGGTGTTACATCATTTTGTTTATGCAGCCCTAGTCACACCCACCTGCATGGGACTTACACAGCCTTTCTAAACACTTCCTGTAAAGAGTCATCTAATGTTTAAACTTCCTTTTATTGTTCAGTGTTTTCAATTTCGAATTTCTTTTCTCCTACATTGTAAAATAGCCTACTAAAGCATGCAGGACGGTGTAGTCACTTACCAGAGTCCATTGCCCATGGCCCTGGGTGCTGGGTCGGTCTTCGGCAATGGCAGCCAATGGGGGGACCTAATACGCGTGTGCGGTGAGCGATGATAGCGAATTAGGCACTCCCCACCGGAAAAGCAATGAATCTATGCTTTCCAATGGGTTTTGCTTGACACTAGATGTCCCCATGACATTTAATATGACATTTATTATAAGCATAATAAATACAGCATTTCACATGCTGTAAAACTGCAGGCAGAGCTTCTGGTTGCTGTCTGGTAGATGGCCACTAGAGGCAGTCTTAGCACCGCAATGTAAATATGGTTTTACATTGCAGGACTAAGGAGGACTGGAATGCTGCACGCAGACCCCTTCAATGAGATGAAGTGTTCTGGGTGCCTATAGCTAAAGTTGTTTTGGTGCTTAAAATATCCTTTTAAGAAGCCCTGTGCTGGATACATTCATGGGTGTGCAGGTGCTGGAATTACATAGTTTACAGTCAAGTAAATTCCATAAATACATGCGTAATTACAGGATAGCCATGCACATGTTAGATTATCTGCAGATTACACCCTTTACAGCTAAAAAGCTAATTGTTCTAATTTTATCTATATATAGCATTCCATATGTTCCCTCATATCTGCGAGAATCTTATGATTTACTCTCATAGCCCAGTCTCATGGAAACCTTCTAGATTCTGTCTGCTTGCAGACTGTACTATACAGAGTGTGACAAATAATTGAGAAATTATAATCATTTTGCAGGTTACTTGGTAAAGGTAGTGATGGCCAATGAGAGCCGACTGTCTGGGAATTAAATTGCTTCACCACCTTTTACCTGTTGCAGGAAACATCTGTTTAAATGTAAAATGTAAAGAATTGTGGATCTTTCTGGTTTGCTATTGGTTAGTTAGGTTCACAGCTCAAGGCTGAAAAGATGCTAATTCTAATTACTGATATTAAAGAATTGAAATATTAATTCAAGCAATATGCTTGCTGCTTTGGCCGTTCCAGGATTAAACCTGCCTTTTGCAGCATATCCCGGAATGTCATCAGTCTGTCTCCATCCAGAGCGGTACACGGTATGAATATACATAACACACAAATACAGGGGTGAGATTGATGTGAAGCAGGTCTGCCAGGGCAGGAGCAGAGACAGTATGACCAGAAATAAACAGAATTTTAAATGGGGGGGAAAAAAATCAAGGTTTTAGAATCTCCTGTTGTTCCCTAAATTCCTTCGTTGCCATGGTACTTCATCCTGAAGCTTATCCCCGCAGAAGGGAGAATGCAAGTGAGAAGAGTGAGTATTAGCAGTTATTTTGTGAGATTTCGAGAATCACCATTGCGGCAAAATGCAGTAATAGTATGTCTGATTGTTTTGTACTGATACACCTTTGAAATGCCAGAACAGGGCGATCTGTACAAACAATTGGCTATTTAGTGTTTTAGCTGCATAGCCACACTGTTTGTCGTCTCACAAGTTTTCATCTGCAAACTATACAGGCCTAAATGTTATTTTTTATTGCAAGCATCAAAGGTCCACGGCACACTCACCGGGGGTACATTTTCACTCACCAATGGCTAGAGGGCCACTGCAAATGTTGAGCCTTCTGTAATGGTTGGGATGGTAGGAGTACCCTGACCCTGTTACTCGTTATTGGGGAAACCGTTTTACAATGGTTTGACCTCTTACCTGGGTCCCTGCAGCCACCTAGTCTTTTCACAAGTATGTTTGCGATATTTGGCTTTTACAGAGCTGCAGAAGTCAGATGAAGAGCCTACCGCTCATTTATTGTGAGCGAGCATCCACTGACCCCTCACAGCCAACGAATGCACAGTCTCTAGTTCCGTGCTGGCCAAAGATTCCCCAATGGCTCTGACAGATGTGGAGTTACTTCTGAAGCAAAAAGGTTAAACTCCATATGTGTAGTGTATCGTAGGAAACAAAGATTCCAGGCACCATGATCACTTCAAATCACTGGAACCACTGAAAAGTGGGGGCGTAGCTTAGCCACTGAGCGAGCAAGTCGCACACTCGATGGGCTCCTGGCCAAACACCGATAAACAAGCGAATTTTGGCAATATTATTCAGCAGCAAACCCACTCATGTATTCACCACCCATCATGGGCCACAAAACAAAAAAACAAGGCTGGTAAAACCTAAAACCAATATGAATATCGGAGATCTTCTCTCCAGCGGGTGCAGGGCGCGTGTGGGCCCACAATGGCCGAGGACCTTGAGGATTACACTGACTCCTCTGAGGGGCTACACTTAAACGGAGATCCAGAAGGGATGATGGCCCCATCATGGTTGACCCCACACAATGGGGAGAACGAGCCGGTGACAGCAACGATGCTCAGGGAAATGCTGTGTAGCCTGCAGCAAACCTTACAGGTAGACACTGTCAGGATTACAGAATGATCCAGCACGTAGAATTGTATAACACAGAGGACTGATAGGTAACGTATACCGGACCTTAGAATGGCCGGACTAACGTACCAAAGAATATTCAGGAATAGCCGAGGTCAAGGGAAACAGAAAGAGACACAACGATAAGGAAAAGACAGGAGTCAGGGATGCCAGAAAACAGGGAAGTCAAATAACCAGAAATTACCAGAATAAATAACGCGCTCTCTGACAACCACAAGTGAAACCACGACAGAGCACTGAGCAGGATGAGAACTAGGCCTAAATACCCCTCCTCTAGATCTGATAGGCTGTAACCGGCCTTTGACCCCAAAGCAGTTACCAGGTTTCATTTGCATTGTTGCTGCTCAGCATTAACCCTTCTGTGGATTTGGTTGCTGCTCGGCACAACTTTTCCTGTGTGGACAGTAAATGTCATTAACCACATTTTTATAAGCGGATGAATACGTGACAGACACAGCCTTGCTGCGCAGGGACCTCGTGGGCAGTCTGGGGGAAGCAGAAAATACCATGACACACCACACGTTAGCCATTACAGGTCTCCAGAGAGAAATACAAACCTTGAAGGCACAAAAAGCATTATCAGATCAGCGGTTTGCCACACTCGAAGACTCGAGGAGCCGCAACAACCTCAAGGTCAGAGGGGTACCAGAAGAGGTTCCGGTGGCAGAGCTCCCGCATTTTATCAGGCGACTACTGGGAGTCCTCTTGGTCCCAAGACGAGCCAAAGGGCTGAACCTCGACAGGATATTTTGAGTCCTGAAACGCGGAAGAGCACCTGATATGGCCCTGTGAGACATTGTTGTAAAATTCTGCAGCAACGCAGACAAACAAGCAGTGCTCGCAGCCCACAAGGGCAAGGTTCCGTACGCCTTTGAGAACGCATCCTTCTCATTCTACGCTGACCTATCTGTGGATGCCCTACAGTGGAGGAGGCACATGCAGCCTGTAACTGCCCTTCTCAGAAGCCACAACTTACTGTAAAGGTGGAGGTCGGCAAGATCGCTGCAAGTTCTCCAAGGAGATGCGACCCACTCAGTGACCGAGCTCCGGGGAGTGAACGCCCTCCTGAGCCAGCTGGGTCTATGTGACAATCCCCTGCCTCAACCGGGAACCAGCGGGACAAACCCTGCCACACAACTGTGACCCGGCTACAATCAAACCGTTCGTGCCGCAAAGTGCAACAGCCAAACCATACGCCGCAATCACCACCTGAGATATAAGGACTGACACCTGTACCACACCTCTCTCCTACCCAGGATCACAACCCATTGTGGTTTGAAGTTGACTTTTCTTTCTGTTAGACGTTTCCTTTTCTTATAATTTAAGCCCCATGCTAAGGCCCAAGCCGTCAGAAGGCACTTTGACCCACAGCCCAATGCTCCCGACTCCCCCACACCACCGCTAACCTTAACTTAGCCAAGTGATACCTGGGGGTGTCACAAGGCTCACCTCAAGGGCCGGTTGCCACTAGCCTCCCCTCTCACTCGCGCTGCATCTCAGCCAAAGAACCAGCGGTATTGAATAGCGACGCCACCCAGGTACACCACTAAACTCAAGCGTTAGTTCACCCTACGACCCATCCTATCCTCCCACAGTAATAACTGACCATACTTGGTCCCCGAGGGATCTAGCCAACAGCTACCCGACAAAAGGTTGGTTATCGGGACTTGTCAGGGAAGACCCATCTAGCATACCTATTAAAAACCATCTACTCGCGGGCCCCTTATACACGACGTTACATATGTCTATTATTGTTTATGTTCATGCATTCCACATTTTCACTGTAATGTTTATTTCACTCTTTCTGTATTAGCTCTCTCATGCTTGTGAGTGTAGCAAAAATAAAGAATAAGAAAATAATACATTTGAAAAGTGACATTTCCGTGGACACTCTGCTTCAAATATAAAATAAAAGGAACAAAAGAAAATCATTTAGTAGCTATACCCACAATGAAAACATGTATGTATTTAATTATACATTATGTTTATTGGGAATATATCTAAAAACAACTTGCAAAAGCTACAGATCTCTTGTCTGCAGCCTTTACAAGCTCTCCTAACCCTGCTCAGATCACAGATTTCCCAATGCAGCTCAATGAGAAGTCGTTGCAAGGCAGGTGCTCTGGGCAATTGCTGCCTCTTGGGTTAGTTTCACTGAGCTAAACAAACCAGGAAGTAACAGGACCGAGTGTCTGATTGACAGACAGGGGGGTGTAACCAGGTTAATTTATAAAAGTGTTAATTTTCATTGAAATCTGCACTTTTTGTAAAATCAAAAAAAGAGGACACACTCTTCACACATAAAGAACTTCAGCAAGCTAAAATGTTTTGTGTGTGTGGAGTGTCCCTTTAAGACATGGTATTTTGTGTTTTCTTGTAAGATTTGACAGTATTTTTGTGCACTTTATTCCTTTGCAGGGACTTTTAATTCATAACAAATCCGTCCACAGCAAGAAGTGTTTTATTTTTCCCGAGTCCACTTCTATAATATCTATATTAGTGCAGTTTTGTCTCTTATTTTCCAGGAGATTTTAGTTCAGTTTTGCTGTGTACTGCTCTTTGTTTAATGTTTTACTTTCCTGTTCAGTTTTCTGCAAGGCACGCTTTGCTACTGCCCCAAAGCACCGTTTACAAGGGGTTGCTATCAGCCTTAGTGCCCCATCCTTGTAGACTAGTCTCCAGCCTGTATATATATGATGGGGTTTATGCACTAAACATAAGATTTTGCTGAACTGGCAAGGGAGTAAGACAAGTGATGCACAAAGCAAATTGGCAGCTTTTTGCGATTTTGGACTAGAATAACTATTTCCTAGTTAAATCTTCATGTTTCCCAGTTTATGACAAATACATGTCATTCAGTGAATACAATTTTAGAAGCTAATGACAGCTCTTGTCCTGAGAGCTTACAGTCTAAATTGAGTTAGGACAGCATGAAAAGCATGAAATACGGTTAGTACGGGGTGTATATAAATGGTCAATGATCTGTGTAGGATTGTGTATGGCATTTTCCGTTAGCGTGCATTGTGAAAAATGTGCTTTGCTGTGAATTAAAGGCTCTCTCTCTGCGATTTTCAAAGCGCCTTTGAAGCTAAGAATATTATAATGGGTCAGGAACTTCCATAGGCCACAAATCGCACTCAGGTTGTCCTGGAATTAAACATGGACATGTGGGATTCATCATGAGAATTGTCAGGAATTGGAGAATTTTTCCAGTTTGTCCTTAAATTTGAAATTCACATTGCGTTAAATACAATTCTCACTTTAGTAAGTAACCCAGACAGTGTACATGTCGGGATACATTTCCTGGTGATCCATAATCTCCATGGTGAAGCTAAATTATTAAAACCATCGAATGCAAACCTTAAGCCTTTGAAGTTTAGTCTGAAGATTAGTGGAAGGTGTTGTAGAGACCTGCACAGTGGGACCTGTGATTTTAATGATTTGTAGATGTACAGCAGTCTACAAGCAGCAGAAAGGATTGATTGGGGGGGATTCTGGGCCAATTAGAAGAAGATTATAATCATCAATAGGGGTTATAATTCACAACGTGTATTGCCATTGCTTATTTATCATATAGTTCAATGACCTGTCAGAAGTTTTCTAGGCATCTCATTACAGCACATATCTGCCAACTTCGGACATAAAAGTCCTATAAAGCCAGTATAGTTTATTAGTTTTGCTTATTATTTTTATTTGTTTTGTTTGCGAAGCGTAAGAAACACAAAGGGGATACAAACAAAAATATTGGTATAATGAATATTAAGGTCATAGATTCAGCAGGTTTCTTTGGCGAAAGCAAGGGAGAAATATGTGAAATATGAACTTTATGAATGCTCCTACTATTGGGGTGGGGTATTTTTCCCATAAAGACTTAGAACAGATACATTGGCATTAAAATGTGAAAAACAATAGTTTCGCTTTGAAACGCTGCACCTACGGAGAAACTGGCTTAGTTGAAGGATGATAAGTGTCCAATCTTGGAGTCCAGTAAGAAAGGAGTCAGTAAAATCATTTCTGAATGCGATCTTTTCGATTGAAATGATGGCTCCAAAAGTAAACATGTATCCTTTATCTGGAAACGTAAGAGATAGACCGTAGCTTTTATAGCACCTTCTGACCTTCTCAGGAATAAATCCACACGTCCTCAGTCTCAGGATCATTACGAGCTGGATGACGATGGGTGAGATCTAGCCTCCTTATCCTAGCGGCCACCATTCAAGGACCACTATAGGCACCTAGACCACTTCAGCTTAATGAAGTGGTCTGGATGCCTGGTCCAGCTAGAATTAACCCTTTCTTCTATAAACATAGCAGTTTCAGAGAAACTGTTATGTTTGTAATAGGGTTAATCCAGCCTCTAGTGGCTGTCTCATTGACAGCCGCTAGAGGCGCTTCCGTGCTTCTCACTGTGATTTTCACAGTGAGAAGACGCCAGCGTCTATAGGAAAGCATTGAGGATGCTTTCCTATGGACTGGCTGAATGCGCGCGTGGCTCGTGTCGCGCATGCGCATTCAGCCGATGACGAGAAGGAGGAGAAGGAGAGTCCCCTGCCCGGCCCTGGAAAAAGAGTTAAATTTAACCCCTTCCACCCCCTAGAGCCCGGCGGCAGGGGGGCCCTGAGGGTGGGGTGGACCTAGAGACCCTATAGAGCCAGGAAAAACGAGTATGTTTTCCTGGCACTATAGTGGTTCTTTAATACTACATAGATTGGTATGTACCGTGTGTGAACATAAGTGTGCTGTTGTGTATTGCGGAAAATGCAAAATGTGTTTGTTTTGATTTTTATAAATCTTTATATGGAGAATGGTCTGAAACATGGAAATATTTTAAAAGTCTCATTTTTCATGCAGGACCTTTTTTTTGTTTGTTTTAAGAATGTTGCAATGAATGGATTCACTCTCTCACTTCCTGCTATTTCTCATCAACCATGACTTGTGAAGACTGCTGGTAAGAGGCATTTTATTGAGCAATGTGCAATAATGCTTATGGCGTGCTAAACACAAATACACACACCAGTCCAGCCATAAAACTTGCTTTTCCCACAGAAATCTCACTTTAACACTGCTCTCACTATATGCAAATGAGCTCAACTAAGAACCAAATTTTTGCCTCATAATTCCACTTTATACATGGATTCCTCAAAAGGGGCTTCTGCAAGATGTGCAAAGGATTGCCCTTTTGATCTATTAAAGGCCCTGTAAGGTGAGACATTTTACACTTGAGCCGCCTGTATGTCTAGTTTC